AGTATCTCAAAACCTTTTCAGTCTAATTGATGGTTTAGCGACACAATCATGCATGCAAATAATCAGTATAAGCAGTCGAGCAAATCTCCTGTAAACTGAAAACATCAATGTCGAATTTACCCCAACACTGACTAAGGTTCAAGCCATTATCATAGACATGAGTTGGGAGTGTACTCCCCTTGGTTACAACTTATGTACTCCCTGATAATCACATGAGCATCACTCACTGTTAATTATCTTGTACAAACTTATTTAGCCGAATACATCTTGCAGCACCACATCAACTAGTAATGTGACACATAAGCTTCACTGATTTCAATAACTTATAATCACCATATCTCAATTAAATCGTATTCCGCCTTATGATAAACTGCATACTTGCAACTAACTTGTATGCATCATCAGCGGTCAGGTATAAATATGTATAAATAGTCTATCGCAGATCAGAACATTGAGTCTAGAGCATGTCTCTTACGAATACACTCATGTTTAACGATTTGTTCCTAGCTATCTGTCCAAAATTCATATAATTATCACTCATGTATTTAAATTTTGTTTTGATAACCATTCATGTGTATTAGTAGTATTACTAAATTCTATCACGGTCAAGTAAAAATGAGGTTGAGGAAATCTCCCCGTAACTAAATAAACCGTATCAAACTAACTGGAACACTAGTTGGAATTCTTCTCCACGGTATACTTCTGTTCCTTCAGTTAGCCTACTAATACAGATGCAATTGGAATTCAACTCATATGGACAACTTACCGGCATAATCGTTATTTGATTTCATAATTTTAACCAAAACTAATACCAATATTAACATTTCTACAATATTCATTACTTTAATATTTCTAAACACAATATACTTACTGCCTATACGTTAAGTTATTAACACGCATCGTTTTATTATTATTATTGTAACCCCATTTTTTATAGTTCAAATAATCTTCAACCAAATTTTCATTTTAAGCGTGTTAATCATGAAGGCAGATATTTTAAGATTATTACATGTATTTCCCGACCAGATGCTGCCGCCTTCTTTTTGATTTATCTTTCAGCTTACCAATACCCGGAGGATTCTTATTATCCTTGGTAACCTCCGGCGCGCGACGATCCCATCCAATTTGGTATCGAACCAACATCACGTTGATTCTGGTGGGAGAGTAGTGTAGTGGCATTGGACAATAGCCACACAATCCACAAAGCTGTGAACACGAGACTACTCAGGAAATAGATATTCAATATTTAACGCGGAGAAATACCTAACGATGGAGAAGGCGCGAACAATGAATTGAATGGACTGGAGTTGATCGTATGGCATGGCTCGGCCATGCAGGCGTGGTCCATCTCAATGTTACTTTATATCTTCTATTCATATTAAATATATTGTTCTTTCTCTAGCCTAACCTTGTTCTACATCATGTATTGGTAATTGATACGATACAGTGAGTTGGTGTAGTCGATGGTGTGACTTCCACGTAAGATCTTATAGATTAGGCAGTTATATCATGACAAATCTACAAATTTAGGATTAGGTCTATTATTAGAGCAGTACTAATATCATAGTAGACCATAATTCTACAGATCACTAATAAATGATAGGACTAACATAAGAGGCATTACAATGGCCGAGATTCCCGTAGGAAGAGGCTGATAAATGGCCCAGTTCTGAAAGAAATGAGAACACAGTGACCCGCGTATCAACATAAGAGTCCGAACAACAAATTTCTAGGTCTATTTCATGCACGTGACTCGTAGTTCAGATCATTGAAAGTGTTTTATAGTGAATACGGCCTGTAGATAATGCGTTAGATGACCTAGGTATACCGAGTATTGAGGATATCTATAAATCAAGGAAAAACGTGATAACTCCAGTTCACACTGCCTCATTCTCTGGCGAAAAGAGAATGTTAAATAATCCGTGAGTCATACCACGGGGACAATTTTTCTAGACAGCAAGGTGGTTCAGAAGAGAAACATGAGACGGTCAGAGGAAAACTTAGATTCGTTAAAGTTCGATTGAGTATCTCGACACGAAAAGGTAGGCATCTAGAATTATCGTGTCTGCTCTTCGAAACTAAATATCTGATTATATTTCTCAATAACAATTTTGCTACGAATATGGTCATGAAGCACTATCATTTGCTTCACGTGAGTGTCATAGTCACACAAACATTAATTAATTTGCGTAGAGAAACTTAGTGTTAAAAGCCTCTCTAACTCCAAAAGAGTTTTGAAGTGATGCTATCTATGTAACGGATCTTATTATATGCCACGCTACCAAATAACGACGTCGTTACCAGAATGCCAGGGTAGGGGACCACTCATCAACCTTCTAAATGACAGTGTCGGGAGTGATCAGTAAACCAGCCCACCAATGGCGGCACCACCCTGACTCCTTTTGACTTTATATAACTGTCTATTCACCAGTCACAATCTTACATGGTTGTCGTAATCGACATTAAGATTTGTTGACTCATTTCCTTATCCTTCAGTTACTTGCCGGTATGTTATTGATGTCACTCCTTATCCCTGTCTAACAAAATGTATTAGTTGTTTTTCGTATATGGATGGTGTTGACTCACATCTTAGAAACAGATGAAGTTTATCAAGCCAAATATCTTGCTTGTTCTGGCTTTGACTAAGGTAAGACTTTGTTCAACAGTCTGTAGATTAGTTTTAATGTGTGTCTTTGGGCAACTGCATCCCTTAAGTAATGACCTTTTATTATTAAGCAGCTAGCCAGACGTACGATATTCCATGCTTTCAATGTCTCAGCCATGATTTCACAACGAACGCAAGACTGAATAAACTATGCTGACACCAAGAAAATGTATGGAGCGTGTCCGTATTTAAAACAACCTAGAGAATAGGAAGTTGAAGCAGGATAAGCAAACATTCTTAGACCTGTCTCGAAATAGCTGTAATTTTGATGTTACATGTACATAGTAGCAAGCACTACAAATAAGTGAAAAATATCTTAGCTGTGAATTTATTTTTCAAGAGCATCACTTATGTGCCATCATTTGAAACTATTATATGAGGCATCTCTCGGTATATCGCATTGCCGAAATAATATTCATTAGGTAAATGACCGCTCTACTGGGATGCAATATATATTTTGAAAACACGTTTTAACCACAGAATATCGAACCAGATAGTTCATCAAAACTAATCACGTTCTTCCACATACATCATTTTATATTACTTGACTAAAGTAAATAGAATTAAAAGTACAAATCAATTTTAAGGATAGAATAAGATTAGTGCGTTTGGCAAGCAGATATTCTGTATGACCATGTATTCTAAATTCGGTATTCAGCTATGCGGACTTAAAATCTGTCTAACAAACGCTATATTCTACCATCCAATAAATGTATTTCCATCTAAGATGTGTATATATGTTCGTTTTACTCGAATGACTAGCGATCAAATTTTTTGTTAGCGATAAATGTTTGCGATAAACTGGAGATATTATTTCTGTCTTCCAGGTGAAGTCAAATCTACCAGTCAAATAGTATCAATCAAGAATACAAACACCTAATATGAAAACCACTCATATACGGTAATCAAGTAAAACAAAATTAGGCCAGTCGGAAAATGGCTAAATAGTAACAAGGAGAGGACTAAAAACTAAAATATCGAGTGAAGTGAGTGTGAATAAATCCTTAAAACAAAGAACTATGAGAGTCTTCAAAACTGATGGTGACATCATTGGTTCTTCGTGATAACCCTCAGCCGGAGACTCCCTAACAAACATTCGTACTAGAATGCATTTGTGTACTCCATGACCAGATAAAATAAGGTAACCAGTCATTCAGTTTGAATACAAATTCATATCACCACATTCCGGACTTCTGGTTTTATTAACTTTGAGATCATAATGTGTAAAGAGAGTTCTCACAATAGTGTTATCAGACTCTTTATAGCCGTAATCTCATCATCCTTTGATAAATCATATGTTACTGTAAAAATGTTGAAAAACGCAGTCGAATGCTGTTTTAGATCTTAGAAACAAATACAAATTAGGATTTGTGAGAACTACATGTTTAACTAGCTAAGTAATCTACTTCCGCAGTAAAATGACTGGAGAAATGGTGTCCATAGGTCAGCTGGTTCAAGAAGAGCATGAATTTACACAAGAACAAATTAAGATGGATCTAACACGCATTCGTGACCTTATAGTCTAAAAAATATCCAAAAATTCCTTAGCTTAAGTGAAAAAACAATATATGAATTCAAACATTAGAAAAATTCAAAAATAAAAATTACTCGTCATTAAGATAGATTCAATTTAGTGACCAAACAAATCTCATTGGAAGCACTTGGAAGTATGTAATCGCTATCTCATATAAATAAGTAAGATCCTAATAATCCAAGGTGTAAAAGTAATCTCAAGGATTTTGAATATTGAGCTTTGGCCTTCACTTCTCTGGCTAACTATTCAAATAAACTGTATTTAGAGGACTTCGTCGTTTGAAGTAAATAAATGTCAGTTACTGTCAGTATTAAAAATAGATGGGTCATAAATTCTCGCTGAACTCTTTGTTCATTTCGAACTTCATATTAATTTGAGTTGTTGACGACATCTTCGACATTAGCTACTTTTTGTCTAATACCATATGTGCACATACAAATCCAATATCAGTTGGGCGTTTTTGATACAATAGTCTTATTTTCACATTTCTTCCTGATTCTTAAGCTCGAGGTAGATATATAAATTCTTCTGAATGCCAGATCTTCCTTTTTGTATAAACCACTGTTCCGGTTGTCTTACATTGACGTGCGATGCTGTTGAATGTTTCGTTACTGACTGTCCAAACAGTTGTGGGATGCGTATGCATTCGTGCAAGGTTGATGACCACTTGGATCAAATATGCCCCAAGACCATAGTCCCGTGTATTAACAAAGAAGTCGGTTGTCCACACCTAATATGTCGCGAGGACAAGTCATTTCATTTACTCAATTGTCCTGCTAGTGTTGTAAGCTGTAATGCTCGATGCCCTTGCTTTTCAGGTGAGCGGTGTGATTGAGTTAATATACCACAGTCTATATTCACAAATCTCATTGTACGATCTGACCCATTATATTCCAAAATACTGTCACCTGATTTCTCGGCATGACTATAATTTATGGACGAACCGATCAGATTTGTGATTACATGTTTTATATTTCAGAGCGAAGTTCATTCACCCATTTGGCTAAATGGTGTTTTGGCATTATAGCTTATGTCAGTTCGTGATGAACACCCTAAATCAAATTCTTAAAATTAATCATCAACTGGAAATCATAATCCAAATTCCTCACACTGGTTTATAACCCCTATTTGGTCCTAGTTATTAGGTGGACACTCAATGTCAACTTAGTGTCGCTCAAAGCTCGTCCATAAATAATAGTCTCACCCATTTTTCCAGTCACTATTCACGCCTAACTTGGTGGTAGCTTACTGGTTGGGTCGTTAATTATCACATGGGCCACTTATGGGATGTCTGGTCGAGCTACCGTTTCGAGATAGATGTTTGAATGATATGTGGGAAAGTCAGTCCATCATTACACATCTTGAGTCTAATGCAATGTTTTCAGCCACATTCCTGCTGTTCTGAGAACTGCACTAGCTAGGCTTACGTGAGAAAAATCTTAACTAGGTGGAAATAGTGACATATCCTCTGTTTGGATAGACATTATTGATCGACTGAAAAATAAAAAAGAGTAGTCATGTAGAAAGTCTTATTATATCTCGCAATACTCTATCATGTAGAACATCGTTAGCTACATCCCTTTGGATCACAGTTTAACACAAGAGGTTTATTATAAACGGTCCATACATTGAACTTCTTGTTTCCTTAGCAAACGTGCTTCTTTAAAATCTTAGTGGTTAACCTGCTCCAGTCAGAATTTTATTAATAAAATCTAGGTCCTTTTGTATCGTCTGAGTAGATCATTTTCCTCTGTTTGAAAGATATAAGTGTATTTCTTAACCTGTTTTTAAACCCCCGACGCTCCGTTGTTTAGCACAGACCGTAATAAATTTTTTAGATTAGTTGATTATCATGATTTTGTACATGTCGTATTGTCAGATAAATCCTGATCAGGTGTAACCGGTTAATCATGCTACTTTAAATTTAAGACTCAAACAGTGACCTGGTGATTAAGGCTATCGAGTTCCAGCTACTAAATCCTAGGTTCGAACTCTTCTCCACCTACTTGGGTTTGGAATACCGGATTGTTTTATTACTAGACCTCATACTCAATATGTGGCTCACTCCCAAGTACCCATGAATGAGTTCATCTAATTGGTTGAAGTTGAAAACACTTAGCATTGTCTACGGGAATAGTTAGTAATTAAAGTTAATAATTGAATTATGATAATTATAATACTCAAATAAATGATTTGAATCATTTGAAACATCCTATTTTTATTTGAACTACAAAATAATTGGTGTGTTACACCAGGCATGCACCACACAAAATTAGAATATTTTTGTGGAGAAAATTCTTAATAAAAGCTGGATATTGTAAAAGGCGTAGTCCTGAAACGAACACTCAAGATTTGTTTTGTTTGAAGGTCCCTCATACTGTTGATAACCAGTGTAACAGAAACCTACCTCGTAATTTACCGTGGTTTTTACTCCAAGCTATTTTCTATAACGTTTCAAATTACTAAGTTGCATTGTCTTAAGGAAATCATATAAGAACCGTGACATAATCGAATGACAGAATAGCACATCTGTTTTTCATTTCCCTGCGCCTTATCATAAACTAACGAACTTCACGCGCTTCACACCAGCCCCAACGTAGGAAGTATGAAATTTGCTGGCACGACATGTAAAATGTAACCAATTTTTAAACCCAATGTTTCTAGATTGTAACATATCGAATTACTGTCTCTATAATGATTAGACAGGTTTAAGGATGTCAGCGTCCACTACATGGTGCTGCCATTAGATATGAAATACCCTTCGTATACAATGATTAAACACTGATGGTCATCTAAAGACATCACATAAAAAAGACAGTTGTACAAACTGGAAAAAACGTTCAGATCGCTACGTTTTACCATCTGACAATTTATGATCTGACTGAAGCTGATTGTGGTCCACATTGACATGAACCATTTCGGATATATCTGTAAATGGACAAATTTCATCTCAGTTATAGGCAACATCTGCTCTGGCACAAATATACCAGTCCATAATGCACAGTTAGTGAGGAAATTAACAAAATAAAGTCAGATGAGTTATATTAATATTAAAAATAATACGAACTAAATGTAAGGAAGTTAGTTCGAAGGGGACGAATGTGATATAGTACGGAATGACAATATTCAACACTTATAAGGATATAAAGAATAAACGGAAATGCGCCATTACAACTTTGTGCTCTCACTTACTCATACCACTTCAATAGTCAACCGTGTTGGTGCATACCATATTTTCGTTTGGCCAGTTTTAGCTCCCTCTCTACTTACTCTTACGCTAACGTGTGTCTGGCTATTAAGTTAAGTGTTAGCTAACTCTAATGAAGTTAGCTTATGGTATTTTGTCACACAGTAACCGAGCTATAACCTCACCAGTTGTCTATACAGTACGTAATAATAATTAGTCAGTAACAACATGAATCTTCGTACGTACGTACATCAGTTCGAGTTGCCATACCACATGAGCACAGATACAAATTGTCAATTCAAATCCCATAGTGGTAGAGGTAGTAAAAGTATAAGCAGTAATCGGAAAGATTATGGTTTGACGATGTTATTCAAGAGTATAATCCAGTGAAACAAATTTGGAAAGAGAAAAAAATGGATATGAAGAATTCAGAAGATTAGAATTCGGTAGAACACAAATAGTAATAATAAGCATAATTAATTAACAGGGACATGAATCTGTTATCTTGTTCTGCATGTTTCGCATTTATACCATTTAATATTATACTGTAATAGTGACTATACACATGAATATATCAGTTGTCTCCAGTTAATGTTACTTTCAACATTTCTCTGTATTATTATTCTGTGCTTAATTTATGATTTGAACAATTTCGATAATTATATCTACTACTATGAATCTGGTGTTCATCTTGTGCTTATGAGGTCTGGCAACTTGGACCGATGCACATAAGTGCCTTGTCCTACGTTGTAGCTGATTGACTGACTGATAATTATGTCAGTCTGTCATAACTAATGTACAATCTAGTACAAATGTGCATCGGCCCAAGCTGGCATACTACACCATAGCGAAATGAAATTAACAAGGTATATGATAAAAAACCCGAAATAATGAAGTTCAGATCGTAGTACTATATGACAAACGCTATAAAGAAGTTTTATTCAAATCACAAATCGATCTTAGATAAACATCAGTTCGTGGTCCCAATAAAATTCAACAATCTCCATAATTTGATGCTGGTAACTAAAAGTGGTTGCTAATATGACTTTGGTGTGCTTGTTTTAAAATAAGCCTAATGCTATCCATCTACAGATGGCTTTCTACTATATTTCAGCTACAATATTTTTCAAGTCTAGTATACTACTATCTAGTTTTCAAAATCCTCACAGACCTGTAAATTCAATTTATTCGTAGAAACGTTTAAAAACATTTATAGACATTCGAAATTAAACGTGATAGCAACTTTTTGAAATGTAGTCTATGTATTTTTTTAAAAAAAAGTTCATTCATACTTATGTGCACGTGACTAGAGCTATTTTGTATCGCTTTTTTCTTAGATTTTTGTGGTTGTATTTTTTTTCAATTTGATATTTCAACTTAGGCAAACACAGAAAAAATCTACTTCTCCAGTAACCTGTACTGTGAATCCGATTATTCATTATGCTTCTTGTAATTCATATGTTTACCGACCAATTAATTCACCTCTGTTGGGGGTCGATTTTGGCAAGTTATTTTAATTACATTTTTCTACTCATAATTTCTCTATTGATTTTCCACTACTGTTTATCACTAGTTAACTAACTTTGCTGATTTCACTTTGATTATTGCTACTTCACATAGTATTCGGAATATTATATCACGTTCTCATATACTACTGATTCATTAATACACTCTCTAACAAGGATAGTTTCGTATTTAAATGAATTCTATAATATACTCCACAACTAGTTGAATTATAGGTCGTAAATTAAGGCTTTAACGTCTGTATACTAGTTACTTTTCCGTTAATAAGAATATTTCTGTAAGGATCCTTCCATCATCAGCACGTACAACTAATTTCCTAGTAGTTTCTCTCCTCTGAAACTTTCATGGACTGATCATCAAACATTTCTGCATTCACTCTTCATTTGGTCTGCAAAATTGTGACTTTATCTGTGAATTAATACATATTTCTTCACCTACAAAACCTGTTAAATATAAACTTCGTTTTTCTTACCCATTTAAAATTGTAACCTCGCTATACACCAGTGATACCTATTATTGACATCAATAGTTGAAACTTCAGCACAAGATTAAGCGATCTGTGTAATTATCAACACTTTTGTTAGACTTCCTATAGGCGAGAACAGTTCTTGGTATGGTGTCGTCAGATAGTCTTAATCACTGCTCAGATAGATGTCTTGAAATCTTTTAAGAGTTTATATTCATTTGCTTCTATCCCATCTCAACTATTACGCATATTCGTTTTAAATCATAATTTATTTGTCAGTTCATTATATTATTTTATGCTCCACTTCAATATTATCGCTATATTGTTTTATTCTGTAGGAACCTGAATGAATGCTGTTTTATCCCAATTACTGTTCTGTTTATATCATTTAGATTTTTTCTAAACTGTTCGTATATACACTTCATTTTCATGTGTACATTCTTTATTTTATTTGATGTACAGATACCAATCAGCGAACTTTTACAAATCAGACTGATGGACATATAACCAATGTATTAAAATTGATCAATGAGGAACAAGTTGATAAAACACTAAGCAGCGGTTTGTAGAATCACCATTATCATCCTACATGTGCGACCATGTAAGTGCATTGATTGTTGTCGATAATTGTTATGTTGAACATGTTGCAAAAAGTAATAGAGTTGATTGATTAGTACAGTTTCACAACGATATTACCGGCGTAAATTATATGTTCCCCATAAAATATTTTTAACGTTTTATTTTATACGACCAGCAAGAAATTGTGTTGTTTTCTTCAGTGAAATGAGACGCCTAGTAAACAATATGCACATGTATATGTACCACATGATCTTTCCAAAAAACACTCCAGTCACATACTATATACCTGAAAATAACTCTGGGATATTTAGAAAAGATAGCCAAAAGTCCGAAATAAATAAAAGACAACCAAAATACTGTTTGTATACAAACTGAATAATACATAGTAAAGGTGACGGAGTATACATCAAGTGAAAGCTATTTTGAGATAATGAGGATGTTACTAGTGTTTTGAATATCAAGTTTTATATTCCTACTGTTTAGCACATTTCATGTTGTTAAAGATAGTTAGTAAAAAACCTTGTACTTGATTTCCACACCGATTCGGAATTGCAAGTAATTTGTACCTACAATTTCGCGGAACTAATATTCACTATAGAATTCACACCTTACGAATAAGCTTATCACCTAACAATAGGATTTTTTATTTATACACAGTTTGTCATATATATTGCCATTACATTATTTGCTGACTTCTAAGTTAATAAAAACTATTTAGTATGCATCATACTTAGTGTGTGTGTATATATTGTACACTTAATATGAGGTTTATGCCATCTAATTATATTAATCCACATTTCTAGTATGTTTTCAGAAGTTTGCACCTTTGAATGCTACCACGGTTGTTTTGAAGAGAGTTGTATTGTTCTTGGGTTCGATATAATTACTATCAAACATTTTGATTCCGGGTATTATTATATGCAGTCAGTTTTTAACTCTAGTCATCCAAGTTTGACAATAGCTTATGAAATTATGGGCATTTTTCATAATAAAATACAGTACCATAAGACTAGTTTATCCATTTATCAAACACTTTACCTCTTGTTACAACTTCAAACAGCCTCTGAAATTGTTTGAATAGTAGAATTTATAACGCTGCAATGTAAACACTCGACCATCAGTTACTGGGACATAAACTAGTACACATCTGGCTTAATTAACTTAAGCTTATAACATCAAATCTCTCAATTATTTACACGTTGATGAAGCTAAATTTGGAAAATACTAAAAACAAACAGTAAAAGTCGAAATAATCTAGACTCTATAATCGACTTGACCTTGTAAAGTACCACGCCAGTGTCCCAACTATGTTAGCTGATATCCAAACGCTTATTAGCTCAACATATTTACTTTTCCTACGAGCACCAATTAGAAGATGAGAATAAGACAGCTGGTCTAATCTCTGTATCTGACTGGAAAATTTACACAATTAAGTACATTAGTTATTGGACTGCAACACCTCATAAATACGAGGTTACAATATGTACCAAACATAAGCATTTTAAAAAGAAATTCGGAATAATGGGCATATAATTAATTTAAAGTGATATGAGAACAGAAGAAGATATGACAACAATTAGTGAGTCGTATGGAAGTTTGAAGTTAGAACATAAATACACATTAGAAATTTGCACAGTGACATCCCCAGAAAATCATTCAAAGTTTGGCATTCTCTCTAGTCTATCTCGTCCCAACATGTGTATTAATCGAACGCTATTAATCCGAGATCACCGTGCGGTCGAAATTCTGAAACTCTTTCGTTAACGTATTTATTCAGTTTAAATTGTTTATATATATATATATATATATATATATATATATATATATATATATATATATATATATATATATATATATATATATATATATATATATATCATCCATTTTTCTCTTGTGCATTTTGTTGATGATACATGTTATCATATATATTCTAACAAATCAATTTCTATCCATTCATAGCCAGGATATATTTGTGGTTGTACAGTTCAAAGAACAAATTATGGATCACACTATCAGTTGCATAGTAATGTACAAGCGCAATTAGACGGATGGATTGAACTTCGTTGTCCATTGTCTTTTTTAGGTTGTAAATATGCTGTAGTTAATCTTCGTCCTAATAGTGAATATAATCATTTACTGTATAATCCAACTCTTGCTACATTTACAACGCGGTATGAATCAGAAACTAATCAACATAATATACTTACTCATCATTCAGAATTAACAAATAGTGAATGTTTTAATTTTGATCAGTTGCCTGCAGAACTTTTAATTTATTTATCTTTTTTCTTAGATGACATGTCTTTACTTTGTTTATCTAAAGTTTCTAACCGATTATCTACCGTATATAAAAATATTCTTTGTGCAAGGTTAATTGTCACACCACAATGGGATAAAGTTCATCACAGATCGTCAGATTTATTCTCTTGGCGTATTACAGGATTTTTGTGGTCTTTTCCACATCGTGCTGAATCTATCAAAGGATGGAGATCTGCACATGGTGCATCAGCTAGATCAAAGATTTCAGCTCATTTAACCAGTTGTCATTATAACGACAAAACCATACGTGTATTTCCATTTTGTTATTTGGAATGAATAATGACTTGGATAACAAAATAATAGGTTTATTAGCATGGCATCTTTAACTCAATCTACTTCCTTACTACCATAATAGGTAGTACAATCGCTCATTTGTGAAATATCTAAAGTAATACTACACAATTATACATAACCAAACTAGATTACTTCTAATCATTCGAATGTCTTATGCTGTCTTCTTTCTGAATCGTACTAAAATAACCATCAACTATCCTATTCACTATTAAACTCCTTTGGATAAATAAGTGATTCTCTTAAGTACTATCTACTTTCCAACACACACACATAGCATGTCATTATTATGTGATGATGAGCAGTATAAGACTACGTTTTTTGAAAAATCATTGACTTATAGATGTTTTCATCGAACTATTTTTTTGTTTCACTTATGTTTAAGTTGTATTACGTACAATAAAGTACCTGTATAAATCCTTGTATGTATATACATATTTATTTGCACGTTTAGAATGTAATATATCATTCATTATCCAAAGTTATTTACCTGGAAATTAAACTTATTTACTTTTGTAGGATACTTGATAGATATAATATCATCAACACTAAACGTCAACATATACTGACCAGTCTGGTATTTGCTCCAGTCATAAGATTACTTTGTCCTTCAACAATCCGGTGTTTATATCGTCAGTTGTACCTGAGTCATGTTTGAACTGACCAACATTCCTGCTACTACTTATACCCAACCACTGCCTACCGCAAAGGGCGATTTTTTCTGGTGTAAGAGTAGGCTGGAAGAATTCTAGGGGTGGTCAGACCAAAATATGGCATCAGTCGATGAAGTCATTGACAGTTGGGCTGAGTTATATCAACAAGTGTAGACTTCCTGGTCGGGGTCTGCGTGGTTATCTTAACCTATGGTTAGAGACTTTGAATAACATGGCTCAAAATCGTTTGTGATGGTACATGTGCGTCAGTCCGTTGTCTTCTTAAAATTCTAAATTCCTCATAGCTTTCTTTGTTTTTATTCCACTAATTTACATTTTCTCGAATCGCATCTTCAAGGCCTAATCTTTCCCGTTACCACTGATACTGTTACTACCCCTACAATATTCTGGGAATTGGTCTGACAATTTTACCTCTCTGTGCTAACGAGTGTGTTTACTTGAACCGATGCACATATGTTCCAGCCTGTATGTTGTGATTCACTCACTAGCTAATAACTATCCTGGATTTTACTAACCCACTTTGTTGATTACTATTGATGTGTCGGTTGCTACCATTCACATAGCCTAACTGTATTTTAGTAGATATAATTATCGTAGGGAAAGTAAAGGGAGTGAGAATATAGAAATGAGAAATTTGGTTCAGTAATACTTGTTAGGTAAAATTAAGATTCACGCAGGTTAACTCATGTCAGCTTTCTCGTACCCTTGTAGTATTTATTTGTTGTACTTTTCAGTTTTTTAAACAAGGGAACTATAATACAGTAATTAGCCACTGATATTGTTTAGATGTTGTATCCGGTAGCATGTATAGTCAATTGGATTAGACATGATTGATTACGGGATGGATATTAGTATTGCCTGGGATTCAGCAACATAAGACTCGTCTAGTAAGTGGTGAATATATTGTAAGGTATTCTTTTGTAAGGCATGTTGCGTTTTTGCAAATTAAACGGACCAACTTTCTCATTAGCTTTTGATAAACCGTAAACAGACACAGTTGAGTGCATCACAGTGGAACGGAATGTTATCCTGATGGATGTTACAAACAGTAAGCTACGATATGCATAGATCATACAATTATCCCATATATTTTAGATTAGAGTAAGAACTAAGTTTTTTTTTCATGTATATATTTGTCATACGTAACTGTGTTCGTGGTCATAACCTGATAACAATTAATTATTTTCCACATTGAGCGATAATATTAATAGCCGAAATCATATATTTCCAACTGAAAGATAACATATTCCTATTTAAACATTAAAAATTAAAAAACACGAAGTTCAGCGAAAGGATCTCTTTTCAACGAATTTATTATCAAGCTGTACAATCATATATGTATGAACATTTTTTGTCCAAGTACTAATTCCATGAGGAAATGCGAACACGAATAACCAATATGACGTAATACGAATAATAACATAGATTTAGTGAACATAATAAGATGATTAAAATGTTTTTGTTACAATAATTAAAGGTCATAGAGGTTTAAAAATAAATAAGGTGATATGATGAGTACTTATGGATAAAACAATGAGAATATAAGACTTAAGTAAAGGGGAATTCAGTAATAATAGTAATGATAAAAATAATATTAATTAGGGCCAAGATAATGATAAGACGTACTTCTTTTGTACACGTAGTTCTAGTTTGAGCTCATGGATGGTAAGAGTTTCGACTATTTATTAGGAGATGGATACGAAAAAATCTAGGTAGATTTGAACGAATTATATAAGCAACCTTAAACTCAAACTGGATCCGTAAAATGTTTACAGTCGATTAGGTATCCAAGTATAGAACTCTTAACTGCTTTCCATTCACCCTTGTAGAACCAAACTGGAACATGGTCTGGTATTCGAGCTGAAAGCGAGCGCTGGCTACGGCCAATGTACCTTGCTCCACAAGAGCAGGTGGACTAGTAGATGCACATGGACGCAACCAAACGCGGAAGCTTATCTTTTATGGATACAGAAGGTTATTCGCAATTTCGCCGCATTAAATATTCTTTTAATCGCAGTTGTTAGGCGATTATTGATTACGTTAGATGTTCAATCCCCCTTAAATTCCAGATCAAAAAAAGGGTTTTCCTTTGGGACGGAACAACTAGATTTCCTATTGCAACTACCTTGGCCTTAATATTATTTTGTCATTACTATTATTACTGAATTCCCCTTTACTTAAGTCTTATATTCTCATTGTTTTATCCATAAGTACTCATCATATCACCTTATTTATTTTTAAACCTCTATGACCTTTAATTATTGTAACAAAAACATTTTAATCATCTTATTATATTCACTAAATCTATTGTTATTATTCGTATTACAATCTTTCTATTACGTCATATTGGTTATTCGTGTTCGCATTTCGTCATGGAATCAGTACTTTGACAAAAAAATTTCATATATACATACGATTGTACAGCTAGATATCTTGGGGAAGTTGCATTTATTCTACCTTTTATTGATTTACGTTACTCTTGGTGTATTAAGAGACTTGTTAAATTGTGACAAAGGGATCTTATCTTTTTTCTGTTATTTTCATCTTGTCATGCTAATCTGATATGGCAACTTAGGTCAGCGCACATATGTACGAGGACCTACACTGGTGGTGTCTGATAGAAATTGACCAAGTGATGCATGCGAATGTTATGATTTCTTTTGAACTATAAAGTACACAATAATTTCGTAAATGTCTGATTTTAGATTATTATCAACTTTGTTTAATATTTTCATAATAATGTTTACTATGAAATACATACGTAAATAATTTCCTCATACACTTATCACGTATTCACATCGACTTGGAAACCATAAAAACCCAGGAAAAACATTTTCTGACCCAATATGTCGCTATTTATGAGACTTGTTGTTCTGTTCTAAATTTCTATACTTGTTTTTTCAGTCAGTGTAAATAAACATACGATTTATGTCAGTATAATAGAGGTACAGACAGTTCGTATTTTTGTTGTGTCTACAATTGTTTAATCATGTGCTTAAGCTTATTATTATTTTGTGTCGTACAAACGTACACTGGCATATTTGGCAAAGTAAATATTATAAAATCTATTCAAATAACTGATCTGAGACTTACATTCATGTCAACTGACGTGACCATTGAGTTGTTTGGTAAAAAATATTTTTCTTTGTAAACAGTTACATAAATGATGTGCTTTAGATAAAGATGTGTAATATTTGAGTTAATTGTAGGCAATTGAGTTTACTTTAACAAACCTTAACATAATTTTCCTATTTAGAAACCACATGAACATACATGACTTAGTCAGTGTGAGATAATGACAGAAATATGTGGATTTAACAACAAAAATAAAACAATTATATCTTATTAAAATTATTTTAAGTATTTTCTTTTAGTTAGATTACCAGTCAAGTTTCGAATAAACTTTAACTCTAACGATCTCATCACTGATTATTCAACAACTCGTAACTAATCTGAGCCGTAATAAAAGTACGACGTATATTTCGAGGTATAAAGCGCATATTTATTAGATTACTTGGGTCATGACAAAGTTTAATAGTGTTCGACGGACCTAACTAAATTGACTGGAAGGACAAACTTTATGGGACGTCTTATTTTCGAGGGATGATACATACGATTTCTCTAAACCTATAGGTCAGCTAGTTATAATTAAGACGGAGCCTAGGACGAATGTATTCACTTCCATATCGGTACAGTAAGATGAGATTATTAGAATGACTACTAAGGTAGTAGTTTTAGTATTAAATATTGTAAACAATCCTTCAAACTATCTTGGGGTGCGACAAAATGATTACATACAATTATACGTGTTTATTTACATCATAATATTAGTTACAAATGCGTTCAAGACTACACTACGTGTTACTAATCCAACGATGCTCACAGCAACCAATTGTTGTCCATTGGATGGAGCCCACTGAAAGCAATTTGTTTTAAATGTATCCACTAACCACCTGTGGTATTTGTACTAACTGATTATTGTTTTGTACTTGATTGGCCGCTTATTACGAGTTATAAATACAATGCGTTCATTCGTGCTCATCTAGTTCTACCTGCCTTAACTTGCACCATTTCGGGAATTCCTAGTTACCATCTCGAAGGAGTACTTCAGAATTAGACAATGTCCCCTAGTAACATATTCTGTGATTTCATCTGAGGTCAACCCCCCTGAAATTTGGCTCTGATGCAAACACAATCCCAATCCTCTCCGCTGGGTGTAAACAGTACCATCCAAGCATACGATGACAATGATTAGTGCAATAGCTACCAGCAGGATGTATGAGCTTTGACACCTCCCATTCGAATTTGTAGCTAATCATGTTCATCTATCATACATATGTGAACTTCAGATATTTAGTGGGTTGAACAACTGGCCGATTCACGACAATCTTATACACCAGCATTAGTGAATACAACTATTTTTTATGTCGAGTCAGTCTACTGTACTTTCAACATACGGAGAAAATTGAGGTGAACATGATAAAAAGCGCTAAGGAACTACGGGCTTTGTAGGACGATGGGATGTCCAATAAAGTTTATTCTGTCTGCCACGAATTTAAAACGACTGACACTTGTCAACAATATAAAAGTACCGTTGCTCCCACATCACTCAAGTAAATGCAAACGATTTTATGATTGCGGCTAACCGAACTAGCACACTCATGATCATCAGACGTTCTTGGTATTCCTGGTAGTAGCTTCTAGCAACTTTTTTAGAATTAATGAATAGTATTTAGTTGCGCAATCGAGTCTCTCACTAATAACTCAACCTTCCAGGGCACTGAATGTACAAACACACCTGACGTAATATTAAACCTAAACACTGACCTGTACAAACGCTTAAAGTTTTTAGCCTTCTGTGGAGTTTGCATTTTGTCGTTGCTACATGGATGTCTTCCAGAGTTACTACTAGTAGATATTGTTTGAGTTGAGCAGCGGATTTCGAAGGAAAATCGGGTGACATTGGGCTGGCTATCCGCAAATAAATTCCCAGAAAGAACATTACCGCACTTCAGATCCATTGTTCTAACAAGGAATACTTCAACCACGAGCTCTAATGTGGGCATAGCAATCGTGTTGATATTATGTTCGAGAAATGCTTCACATTTTTTACCAGCTTGCTCTACAACTTGCAAATTTATCGTCCACACAGAAATGTAGCTGTTCGAATTACATCACAACAGATTATGAGTTTGTTGTAGATGGTATCGAAATCCCGCCG